ACTCTCAAAACCTTAACATTCCTAGTTCATTCATATTAGATTTTACCCTTAAAGCCCTAAAATTTACATTCATACTACAAGCCTTACGCTCAAGATATACCTCGCATGGTCATCTTACATGCCTAATTGTCAAGAAAATATAACCACATGCTTCATTCTTAAGTTATTCTAATCATAATTCATCATATAGCCCCAATCTCAATCAATACAAATCATAGACTCTCATGTATACTTTAACTTCATTCAATTCATATCTATAAGCCCTAACCTCAAGCAATTCATAAAGAAATTCATCAATCTTAGAAGATTATCTCTAAATGCTCAATTTCCCCATTCAAGGCATAAAACCCACTTATTTAAATTTCATCTCTCTAGACATGGGTTAGACATGTAAACATGTAATTTCATCTTAAAAACATGATATACTGCTAATTCAATCATAATTGATCATTATCCACTCAATTCATACAATAATACCCACAATATAGGAAGAAACCCTAATTAGAATTGGGGGTTCATCTTCACAATTAGGGGGTGGGGACATGGGGGTATTCATGGATGAATGGAATCAAAGAATGAACACGCCATCATACCTTGATTATAAATCCCAACAAGATTGACACAATGGAGTCTTGACTTGACTTAGCTTGACCCTCTTCTTCTTCTTCTTCTTTGACTTTTCTTGAGAGAGATTTTTTTTGGAGAGGATGAACTTTGGGAATTATTTTGGTTTTGGAATAAATGACTTAATTGGGTGAGTTTTGGGGTTAAAATGACTTATATATGGGTCCTAGGCTTGGGAGAAATGACATAGCTTTGAGTTTACACAATTGGGAAAACACCCAAGACCTCCTCTTACTGGAAACTGCCGAAATGGCATGAAGGAGGCCTTCACAGGTCGTCATCATCACCACGGCCCATCAAATGGATCATGAAGAATTCCAGCCTGACAGTGTTTCACTATTTCAGGCATAACTTTTTACTTTGAGATGTTAAATGGGAAAACTCGGTGGCGTTGGAAAGAGGACTAAGATACCTTTAATTTTATAGGTCATGGCCAACCTAATTAGTTTTGAGTTAAGAGAAATGTTCATTTGAAGTTGAACCTAAACTCTAGGTCTAGTAAAATGCCCTTCACGTGAGGCTTCATGAGCCGTGGTGCCTACCATGAGTAGTGGTGTCTATTGTGGTCATGATCCAGTAGCTAGGAAACCTTCCCCTTAACCCCTAAAAGCTAAGTCAACCACATGACCCCTCCCACGGCATATCAAGGCCTTCACGAGCCGTGAAATGGCTCGTATAAAGGAGGTAAAGTTGGGCAGTCTCGAGGAGGCTACTGCCTCATCACCACAGGTGGCACCACGGGGCATGGTTGCCACCACGAGTGGTGAAGGCTCACGCTATTATAGCCAGTGCATTGGGAAGATGGGGCACTTTTGGCCCAAGTCCATTGGCTCTTGTCCCTTGTCTTCTAAATTATCCCTAATTAACATACTAATCTATGGGGTGTTACAGTACCGAGGGACAAACATACATATTTAAAATTTCAAACGAGCCCCAAAGAAGGTAAACCCAGATTTTGATGACTTTCGTGTGTGGATTTTTTGTGATCCGAAATTCCCATAAATAATGGCGGATATTTTTCATGGACGCCCATTGAGAGCTTAGCAATGGAGCTATTTTGTCCCGTGGGGAAACCGGGAGTATTTTCAACTTCAAACGATCCCCAAAGCAGGTATACCCAAATTTTGCAATTTTCGTCTGCTATAGCCCATGGAGTTTTTGTGATCCGAAATTCCCAAAAAAAATGGCCAAATTTTTTTATGGTTGGCGTTGAATCCCACAAAGGGCGATACATGTTCCAGATTCAATTAGGAAGTATGAACATGTTCGAATCATTCATAGGAATAAAAGTTATCGAATAAAGACATCATTCAAGTTGAGGGGTGACACGAATGTCAAATTGGGGATTTTGGTTTTAATTATCAACTACAAATAGTGGCAAGCAATATAAAATAACAATAATGAGATGGGTTCTTGGGATGTGATCGATTATAGGCTAATATAGACAAATGAGTAATTCAACTATTAGTAAATAGCCATATATTAGTAAGTAAGCTAGGCTATAGTGGAGATAAACTTTCTCTCGAACAATTTACCCCGAATAGAGTTGATTTCTCTTGAACATCAACAAGCATGCAAAATAAGAACAGCCCACACCTTAGTCATTCACTCTCTCGAGCTGAATGTGTGGAATTGGGTTTAGGATTCACTCTCTTGAGCTGAAACCAGGTCAACCCAATATCCACTAACCATCAACCAATAATTTTAGTACTAAAACCTCTCTCTAGAGCAGGCCAAGAACACAAACAGAGAACTGCATTTGCAACTAAACTTCCTAAATTAATCCACAATTAATGATTGAACTCACTTCTAAAGATCATTTAAACTAACAATTAACAATACCCATAAATTAAATCAGCCCATAATCACACCCCAAAAATTGGGGTTTTAGCTAGACGTCATAAAAAAATTAAAAACCGTTACCAAATTGATTATCCATCAACTCGGTAAGAGTAGATTCATCCTTACAATGCTCCAATTCGAAGAATCTCAAAGACCCACTTCCAATTTCTCAAAAGTGAAAAACTTCAATTCTTCAAAGCTTAGGAAAAACTAGAGAAAATTGTCTCATAGTTCAAAACTCAAAAATAGATTTAAAATATATGATCTGAGATACTTAACTAAATGTTCAAAAATGTATTTGTAGTCGCCAAAAATGTGTTGTGAAGAGTCAATTGACAAAGTAAGTCCGGCTCGCTGAACCACTCAATGAGCCGCCCTTTTATCACTTCCATCATTCTTCTGCCTTGGCATTTAACATCCTCAAGGTCTGTAACTTTGGGCAATCTAGCACTGCATCCCAGAACTACTCGGCGATCCGCCGACTGCTCCTTTTCATCGCCAACTTGGTTTCTTCCTTCAGGGCTTGGCACACTGGAACTTTAGGCGGTCAGATGGCTATTCATCGACTCTCCAAGTGGACTTGACGATCCCTAGGATTGCCTTTCTTCATTCTTTCATCCCGTTCTGTTCCTTTTTGCTTGTTAGTGTCCTTGCTTTGTTCCTCAATCCCTAAACTTGAAAATCAAGGGTTTTACATCAGCTTTTTGTACAAATTAAGCATTTGAGGACACTAATTCTATATAAACAAAGCCCTAAATGAGTCCAAATCTCGAACTCATCAACACCCCCAACTTAAACTTTTGCTTGTCCTCATGTAAAACTCAAGTTCAGCAGTTCAAAAAGAATGTCCCAAACAGTGCTACAGAAGACTCAATCATGAATGCACATCACAAGACTCAACTTACTCATGCAAGAATCAATTGTGCACTGAAAGATTCAAGTTGTGATTCACCATTATCAACGATTCTCAAGTTCACAATACTTGCTTCAAATGCAAGTTCAAGCTCAACAAAGGTACTGAAATGCCCTCACAACAAGGATGATTCCATATTCACACACAATTCTTGAACAATTTATAGCTTCGAAATCATATACAACTCTCACACTTACAAAGATGAACACATGCATGACATCACCCATAGGTTTACCCTTATTTTCGAATCAACAATCATTTTAGCTCACTCAAGATCAATAAGGTCTTTTCAAGGCTTGTAATGGGGATGAGTGTAAAGCTATGGTCATTTAGGCTCAGTGGTTGCTATCCTCATAAAATGTGGTATGAACATTACTTTCCTTCCTTTTCTTCAGTAATTTTACACATGCTCAAAATTCACCCCATTATTCAACTTCCAATTAAATATCGGACACCCCATTTCTTTTGCAACTTTCACAACTTTTTTTTCATTCTTTTTATTTTGCTTTCTTCTATTCTTTCTCTCTCTCTCTTTTTTATGGAGGGTTTCCATCTTTTTCAAATCCATGGATCAAGGGGGAACTTCTTCACACTTCTTGATTTATCTTCTTTTTTCACCACACCCCAACTTAGACTTTTGGTGTAAGTTGGCTATTCAAATAAACAACACTTCATGAGGATTATGGATGAATGGATAAAGAGGGGTTACAATTGCATCAAGTTTCTTCCAAGAAAAGGACAAGGCTCAAAGTGGTTTAAGCAAAGTTCACACATCTCACAAGGTTGGCCACAAAAGAGGTATAATGTCAAATTGTTTCAATCTTCAAAATTGTTGCCTCAGATCATTTCAAGAGCTTGCATCACTTAGTCAACTGGACCAATGGAGCAATTTCTAGGTGTCATCACACTAGGTTCACGGTAAGCTAATCACACAAGGCATTGGAACCAATATCAAACGAGACTGTACACGTTTGCTAGTGTGAAATGTACATCACATGAGACTACATTCGATAACCGGCTTGTCACAACGAGATACAAAATTCCACATATTGTCAATACAACTTCATTTGGCCTCATCGTAGCCACACAATCATTGTTGTTAGATTAAGAACACTATTCAAGTCATCGGTATTGATCATGACCGATAGTCAAATTTGCATAAGAACAACCACGTTCAAACACAACAAGAGGTGGAAAATATTTTTCATAAGGGTTAAAAACCATTTGCATTCAAAATAAGGAGCCATAAGCTCAAACATCCAGAAAACAATATCAAAAGACAATTTAAACACAACAAACCCAATAATATATACGTAGAATAGTCACAAGAGGTAGGTATAAAAATACCGCACCCCACCACAAATAAAAAATGTAGTTCTCCTCAAATGCAACAAAATAATAAAAAGTCAATAAAAATAACAGAGTGGGAGGTAGAAAAAGGTCATAACTACACAGTCGCTCCATCTATTGGGGCATCAATGCCCGGGGTCACATCAATACCACCGGCTCCACTAGGGTCAGCCATGGGTTTATCTGCCAATGAAATATGAACGAAAGAATCCACCATGGCCTGCTCAACCCCTGCAAGGCCCTCATAAGTAGCCTCCTCATCAACACCAAGCTATTCCTCATTAGTCTCAGCCTCGAACTCAGCAACAACTATCTCCTCAACTCGAACCTCATATTCGGTGTTTGCTGGAGGCACATCTATATAAGATGGCATGTCGGGGATCTCCACAGTCCCAAATATCATGTACCTATATGTGGACTTTAACTGATCCATGTCATTCCTCAGCTCAGCAAATGCGGCCTTCAGAGTCATCACCTCATCAATGGCCCCGTGGCCTCGCTTACACACCAATATCCATGTTGTAAGGGCATCAATAGACACACTAAAAGGTGTCACACAAACAATAAGGGCCCTGTCAATAATCCCAGGGACTATCGCCTCAAGCCTGGAGGCACGCCTATCAGCAAAATGGACTAGATGCCCCATCCATAGTATCACCACCTGGGTGACTGAATGTCAGGAAGCATCAACAACAGCACCAGACCTTGGGGGCAGGGGGAGCTGTAGAGGAACTAGGAGTCACTTAACGGACAACACTAAATATACCTTAAGGCCCAGGGGCCAGAGTAGGCAATACTGCCTCTCCAGGTAGTGTATCAATATCAACAATCGGGGAGATGTCCATCGGACGCTGCTTGGCCCTCATGGCCATTTCTTGTGTAATGATCATGCCTAGATTTATACGATTCATTGCAATGAAGGAACTAAGACAAGTCGTCTTTGTGTGGAGGAGGTTGGATTCATTCTGAGATGGCATAATGGTGCTGTTAATGAAGCCAAATCAGTACCTCGCTACCACGCTGAGGTCCTTCTTCTCAATCTGCACTCCAGCCTCGACCCACCTAGGTGTATCATCCGACAATGGAGGAGCCAACCATTCCTTCATAGTCTCCAAAGACTTAGTCTTGCTTATTTATTGGTAGTCATCAACAATGTTGGCAGTGCATTCCAATACAACATTTATTTCACCGCAGTCACACTTTACCTTTTTGCCCCTGACGACCACATAATCCACCATCTTGAATGTGAAAGCCTTCCTCTTCCCTTGTGGTACTAGGGCTCCGTAGGCAGTGTAGAACTCCCGGGCCCAATTTGGAATGTAAGGACTACGGGGTCTGGTGAATGTCTAGAACTTGTGAGACTTCAAACAACTCCAGATATCTAGGTATTTATCTATAACTCCATCACTAGACGACCTCTTCTCTTTTATGATGGTCCTCAATCCCTCAGCCTTTACTCTATTCATTGACTGGGAGGAAGACCCTGTGCAGGTGGTGCTCGGACCACAGCCTGATCTGGAATGGAAGAAGGAGTATGGGCCTCAGGCACTCTGATCCTAGACGTATCATGCATTCACTTGGATCGCAGCTCAGCTTTTCGGGCCAATAATAGTTCATCATCCTCAAGCTCAGAGATGGTAGCCTTAGGGTCCTGGTGCACACCCACTCTCAGAAGTAGTGAGGTGAGTGGTGTATATGTCATCACTATCGGAGCTAACCTTCGATGGTTCAGGAGCAGGTGCCTTGCCTTTCCCTTTTCCCTTCCCACTTGTGGTAGGAAGTTTTGTCGCCTTTCCCCTAGATACAACTACATCTTCATTTATGGTGATTCCCTTTTCCCTATTGCGGGGTGGCATGTCTTGACCTACTACTTTTGGTCTAGCCATCTCTGCAACGCACATCGGAAAATGTGAGAAACAGTTCAAGAAAAGTTGCAGAAAGACTCACCAAATCACTTTGGCGAGCCTGATCTGACTCGCCGAAAGAATCGACTAAAAATTTTCTCAGAAAAATGGCATGTCGGTGATGAGAAGAAACATTTGACGAATCGCCGACCTCATTTGGTGAGCACAAATTAGCCTACCGAAAGTTACAGTGAATTTTAGGGGTTGGGGGTGCAGAAATGGCGATCAAAAGCGACTTTCGGTGCGTCGCCGAGTGAACATGGCGAGCTCAGGGTTCTAGCTGAAAGTTACATATCCAAACTGAACATTTAAATTAAATTAAAGGTGATCAAGGGTGATTTCGGTGAGCCGCCAAGTGATTCGGTGAGCTCGATCCAGCTCGCCAAACTGCCCAACATGCATATTTTCAACCCCAACTCCCAAAATCAAACTCGTAGCCTTCGAAAACAAAATCAAACAATATACTATCTCAATTAGGCTCATACCTATTAGACCCATGCCACCGGGGTACTCAGACTTCCCCCGGTTTAGCCAAAATTGGGCATTTGATGACTTTAACCCTTTAGAATGACGTTAAATGCTCCATCATTGGGAAAACACATCATTTATCACAATTTGGGTTACTAAGACTTCACCCGACTAGATCCAACAACAAAATACCGCAACCCAACAATTTATGATCATTTTTAAAGCACAAAAATTAGGGAATCAACAATTTAGGCAATTTAGGCACAATATCGAAATTAATATTAGCAAACTAGCACACATTCATGTTTTCAAAGAGGCCCAACACATGTCAATAAGAATTAAACAATTATAAATGAGTTTAACCACTAATTACGAGTTTGGGGTTTGGCAAACCAACCATTACGCCGAAAGATGAATTTGGAAAGCTAGGTGGCAAAGTATCCAATTCCGATCACAGAGTCAACGACTAAAAAGAAGTAAAATGCAAGACTATAGGAAATATAGAGTGTGGGTGTGATTGTATGAAGTTAAAAAGTGAGGGAATGTGAAAGAGTTTGAAATTTTAAACCTTTGGCCTTTTAAAAAACCGTCCAGTTTGCCCCCTTTTGGTGATGTTATTTTTCCTCGCCGAATTTTATAGGACCTCCAGTTAATGTGGGGGTCCAAACGACAGACAAAGTCGGGCTCACCGACCTGTTCAGCGAGTCACCGACTTCTCCATGGGCCCGCCAAGTTTTATAGACTCCATTTTCATAATTTCTTGAGTCCAACGGTAGTCCAAGTTGGCCTCGCCGACCTCTTCGACGATTTTCCGACTGGACATTTTTCTTGCCAACCTACACTTTTCAAACACATTATACACTTCAACCTGCACAATCAACACCCGTTATTCCAAAAATAAAATATAAAGCAATAAAAAGTTTGGTTGCCTCCTAAGAAGTGCCTTAGTTAACATCGTGGCACGACGCAAGTACCCCTTCAAGTTTCATTCTTGGGGTTTGCCATAGTATCACTAGGCAATCCCTTTGTTGTCTCGGGTTTAAATGTGAAGAAATTTGTCCCATTTGGGTCTCCAACTGCTTGATAGAGATGGAATGAGAGGTAACCGTCTGGTTGAGGGTAGATACATCTTCCTTCATTTACTTCAAAACCTTATCAAACCCTTCTACCTTGATGAGAATACGAGAGAGCATATCCTCAGTCCGGCCACCCTCAGAATCTTTGGGCTTTTGATGCTCGTGAGGAGTAACATACCTATCCTTCTCCCCATCTCTTTCTTTACAGGTGGAATTCTGCTCACGCCACTCTCTATCACGGTCTCTGCAACCCTCATCTCTATTCCAACCTTGGTTACCACCTAGCCTTGAGTAGTTTGCACGATAACCTCCTCCTTGGTTCGCTAGAAAGTTCACTTCGTCATTGTACAACACTTCAAACTTCATTGGGGTTTACAAAACCCACACCCACAACACTGACACTCCTAGCACCAGCTTCCAAGACATTTTTGGCCAAAATATCAAGTTGGGTCATCATCTTTGCCATGTTCTGGTCCCTCTCTTGATCTTTCTCAATCAATTATTTGGTTAATTTAAAAGTTAGAGTGGAGACCTTATCTTCACGGGTGAACCATGGCCGGTTAATGGTTATCATGCCATCCAAGAGTTGGGTTGCTATCACATAAGGTTGTTGCATTAAACCTCCCGACTAAAGTTGATCTGCAACTCCTTTGTTCACTGAATCAAGGCTTTGGTAAAAGTATTGCAGCAAAACATTGTTTGGCAGTCCATGAATTGGGCATTGCAGTACCAACTTCTTAAATCTTAGCTAGGTCTCATGGATTGGCTCACCCTTTAAACTCTTGAAGCTTTGGATGTTGTCCCGAAGAGTCATCATCTTCGAAGGAGGGAAAAATCGCACTTGGAATGTGGTGATAAGCTCTTCCAACGAAGTAATATAATCTCTTGGCAACTTCGCTAACCACTTGCGCGCTTTTCCCATTAGATAAAATAGGAATAACCTTAACCGGACTGACTCTTGGGATATATTCTTAAAGGAGAACGCCCCATAGACATCAACAAAGTTTCTTATATGCTAATGGGGATCCTCATGAGCCAACCCACCAAACAAACCTTTCAATTGCAAGAGCTGCAACATAGTGCTTGTAATGTGGAACACAACGTTCCCTTCAGCCGGAGGCAAGTGAACGGCACCAACTCCACCCACTAGATTTGGGTCATTGATGTTCGGTTCATTGACATCATTTAGGTTTTTGATGTCATCTTGGTGGCCCACTTGGCTACCATTGCTTCCGTTGACACACATTTCCTCTGTTTCAAAAAGCAACACAAAAACCAAAACTAAAAATAAGTACAGTCAAATATGACTAACGAGAACAAAATTCAATTTCACAAAAAGAGTCTCAAACAACACCACACCCCGACAACGGTGCCATTTTGGTTTAACGTTTCAACCACAGCTCATCCAATTCTAGCTGTTCAACGACTGCAAATCAGTATAAAACCCAACTAAATGAGTTGGGGTCGAATCCCAGACATTGCGATACGTGTTCCCAATTCAATTAGGAAGTTGAACATGTTCGAATCAGTCATAGGAATAACAATGATCGAATAAAGACATCATTCAAGTTAAGGGATAACACGAATGTCAAATTGGGGGTTTTGGTTTTAATTATCAAATATAAACAGTGACTAACAATATGAAATAACCATAATGAGACGGGTTCTTGGGATGTGATCGATTATAGGAGAATATAGACAAATGGGTAATTGCAACTATTAGTAAATAGCTAGATATTAGTAAGTAAGCTAGGCTATAGTGGAGATAAACTTTCTCATGAACAATTTACCCCGAATCAAGTAGATTTCTCTTGAACATCAACAAACATGCAAAATAAGAACATCCCACACCTTAGTCCATTCACTCTCACGAGTTGAATGTGTGGAATTGGGTTTAGGATTCACTCTCCAGAGCTGAACCCAAATAAACCCAATACCCACTGACCATCAACCAATAATTTTGGTTCTAAAACCTCTCTTTCGAGCAGGCCAAGAACACAAACATAGAACTGCATTTGCAACAAAAATTCTTAAATTAATCCATAATTAATAATTGAACTCACTTCTAAATAGAATTTAAACTAACAATTAGCAATACCCATAAACGAAATCAGCCAATAATCACATAATCACACCCAAAGAATTGTGGTTTAGATAGACATCATAAAAAGGTAAAAATCGTTAGCAAATTGATTATCCATCAACTGGGTAAAGGTAGATTTGTCCTTACAATGCTCCATTCGAAGAATCTCAAAGATCCACTTCCAATTGCTCAAAAGTGAACTTCAATTCTTCAAAGGTTAGGAAAAACTAGAGAAAACTATCTCACAGTTCAAAATTCAAAAATAGATTAAAAATATATGATCTGAGATACTAAATTAAATGTTCAAAAATGAATTTACAGTTACCAAAAATGTGCCACGA